CAGCTGCGATAGCAGTGCAAAATTTCGTTTTTGGTAATTAAGTTTTGTGGTTGCAATAACATTGCAAGGACCTCATATTAGAATTTAGACTCTGCGAATACAATGGTAGTGCAAGATCATATTTGACTGCTGTGATAGCAATGTAAGAGCAAATGTTTGATGATTTATTTTTCACAACCGCAATAGCAATGCAAGGATCTCATACTGGAGATTCGGTTTCTAGGCTACAATAGTAATGCAAGGCTCAAGTTTGACGATTAGGTTCTGCAGTTGCGATTGCAATGCAGGAACTCATCTAGATAATTAGACCTCGCCGCTACGATAGCAGTGCAAGGATCTTGGGGATTAAGGCACAGCGACTATGATAGCAGTGCAAAGACCTCATGTTTGGGGTTATTAAATAATGTTGATTAAGCTCTAAAGCTATGATAGTGGTGCGAGGGGAAACTTTAGCAACGAGGAAACAGATATTTTATACATTTACACATGGGATTACGTATGTGCTCCAATAACGTCAAATCCTCATTATAAGAACTGGTTTGATAAAATAATACCTGATTATAGAGTTTTTACGGCAATCAGCCTAAAATTAATAAGATTGCACCCAAATATTAGCAAACAAGTAGAGGCTTTTGCGGACAATAATTTTAATGATTATAATATAGGAGTTCATTTAAGAGAGAAAAAGACAATATATGATTTGGTAACACCCATAGATCATTTCAGTCTGGTAGTGAAAATGTTAATATTAGGAATAAAAAACATGAATATAACTATCTTTGTGGCTGCTGATAGTAATGATGGTCGTAAAAAATTAGTAAATTTAATTAATGAAATGACTACTTATAATAACAATTCTATTAAAGTAGTTCATACTGATGATGATATGGACGCTCCAAATCCTTTTAATTCGAACACTGGTACGGAAGTAGGCGCTCTTATCGATATGAAGTTGCTTAGTTTATGTGATGACTTGGTTATTACATATGGTTCATCATTCGGTTTCACTGCTGCAGGATGGTCACCAAAAACGTATCGTCGAAGAGGTCCGTTTGTAGTAATGCCAATAAAAGATTCGAGCGATGATTTTTGGACTGTAGATAAGGTTTGGGTGTGGGGCGCTACATCAAGCGAGCCTTGCATGTACCTAAGTAAGTGGGTAATTGATAAAGCGGATGAGGAAACCTCTAGAGCTTTTAGGTCACATCCATTATGGATGCATTATAGTCAATGCCATTGGCCAATATAAATAATATGTGTTAACTGTGAACCCACGTAACTTTGGTTCCACAGAAAGGGTGGATGGTCCTTTAGATCAGAAGGATGATTATTGACAGTTTATATATATATATAGAATATTGAGACAATGTAAATGTCCTGCATCACTTCACAATTTGCCTCGAATATTAATAGAACCGGGTCATCCCTAAGACGTACGTTATTTCTTAATCGGTTACAATTAATATAGCATATTTAGATTAATTCCAGATTGACCTAGCTCATTAATTGATATACATCTATTCTCAATCGGTGAAAATTTTTAAAAAAAATCAAAAATTATACGCTCAAGCGATAAATTATATCACCAAGCAATAATATTAATTATATTAATAAATTTCATTACCATCAATAAAAAAATATATAAATTTTACATAAAGAAATAAAAGCATAAAAGTTCTCGATAATAAAATTTATTTATGTTAAAAAAATGCTTCAGATAAATAAAAAAAAACTCGAATAATTAATAAAAAGTTCATAATACAAATAAGAATTGATATTTATACCCTCATTTTTAATATTTTATACCCTATTAAAAAAAGTATTTCAAAATAGAATTTTTATCAAATAAAACTTTTAATAGTCTTAAGTAAAATTGTTTCTTGTACTTTCTTATTCCCATGGTGGATGTTCTATAGAATAGGTGGCAAACTCCGCAAACTCCGCAACTCCGATATTAAAAAATTAATGATTACTAATCATTAGCGAAGCTTATTTCTTATATTGCCCACCTATTCCATAGAATATCCTAACACTTAATAACAACATTTTTTAAAGTATTTTTTATTTCATAGGGTATAAATGCCAAAATAGAGATATAAATATTGATTTTTACAAATAAATAAAAATTTTATATAATTAAAAATGCACAATACAAATAAAAAACTTTATATAATTAATAAAAATGCATATTACAAACAAATAAAAAAATTTGTATAATTACTAAAAGGATTATTATATTTGTAGTCATAGGCTACCGTAGCCGTAACTAAAATAACTCTTTTCGTTGTTAGTTAGAGTTAGGGTGAGGTAAAGATAGTGTGCGGGTGAAAAGGTATGTTTTATACAGTACACCCTCTCAAATCCGATAGGCATGGTGGACAGCTTTTGTATCGGTTTTGAGAGGTTATCGGATTTAAGGTACCAATGGTTCGCTGGTCCATGATTATAAATAAATATAATTGGCTAAATTATATTTATTGTACCTTATATCTACTTGATCACACAAAGCCCGATCTGAGCCAATAAAATTGATTTATAATATCCAACAAACCCGATATCTTATAGGCATCTGATCTTTTGAGTATCGGTTATCAGAAATGGCAGGTATCGGGTTTGAATTATGGAACAGACATGGTGAATCAATTTTTTATCTGGTATAACAGGTTATCGATTTTGACAGGATCAGTTTTGGGAGGGTATATTGTAATAAAATTTACATAGAATTTTTTTGTTAGAACCCAAAGAGTAGTTTCATATACTCAATTTTTAGTTATAACTGATTTTTGACAATTTTGACAAAACAAACATTTGTTTTGAATTTTCCTGATTGTGTTACATTACATTTGATCTTTAAATTTGATTGGCTCTTATAGATGTGGCTACAGTAGCCAAATATAGTATTTTTTAATAAAATATGCAATAAATAAATTATATAAATTAAAAAAAAACTATATTAATTTTTATATTTACTATATAGAATATATTTACATAATAGGCAGAAACAAGTATTAGAAGAGTATTTAGTTTTTTGATAATAACTATATTTTGAACAAATAGTTTTAATTGATTAAATTATTATATTATTTATTAGTTTATTATTATATAATAAGTTATTATACTAATCACATAATATGTTATATATAAAATTTTTAATATAAAGTCAAATAATCAATACATCTAATTTTATATATATAATTTAAACAAATTTTGCTTTTTAGGCATATTTAATAATAAAGGATCTATTGGTTTAATTACTGATAGCAATTTGTAATTTCTTTTGCATTTAAAAAATCTTCTTATAAAATTTAAAAATAAGATTAAGAAATATTATTGTCATAGTTGACTAATTTTTTTATAATTTTTACTATTTGTTTATATGTAATAATAAATAAAATATATTATTTATTAAAAATAAGTAATAAGAAAATATCTAATTAATTTATTTAATAAATATTTTTTTATTGCCTTTTGTTTGACCTTTTGTTTATCTTTTTGTTTACTCTTTTGTTTATTTTTTTGTTTATCTTTTGTTTGTCTTTTGTTTGTCCTTTTATTTGCACTTTTATTTATCTTTTCATTTGTACTTTTGTAAATATCTATGTTTTTATTTATTATTTTATCTACCTATTTATTTACTCTTTTATCAGTTATTTTATTTATTATTTTATCTACTATCTTATCTATTTCATCTACTATTTTATTTTACTTCTAAGTAAATATGTACATATGCATATATAATTAAAAATTATATATATCTTTCTTTGTATTTAAGTTGTATCACCAACAATAATTTTAAAATTTCTTGTTGATTTATATTATTATGAAGTTCAGATTGTTTAAACCAGTTTTCAGATAGTTTATCTTTAAAATTAATGTACTGTTTCTTAATTTCTTTTAGTAAACAAAATACTGCAAGAGTTTTTTAAATACAATATATATAGACTACTTTTAGTTTGTCAAAATAATTGTATATTTATTACATCTATTAAATATAAATGAAATTGAATTAAAAAAAACTTACAACAACACAATAGTAAGGTTCTTCAAAATCAAATCAAACCAAATATCAATCATATTTGAATTTGATTTGATTTAAAATTTCTGTATTTGAATTTGATTTGATCAAATCAAATCTAATCAAATCAAATAATATTTAGAAATTTTTAAAATTTTAAAATTTTATTATTTTTTTAAAAGGCTTTATAATTTATTGCTATAATAATATATTGTATCCGGGTCTAAGTCAAATTAAAATCTCAAAATCAAAATTCTAAAAATCAAAATCATGAATCTTAGATATTATACTGTATAATATTAGGGTTTCAATATTTAAGCCCTATCTATAATTAGTAATATAAATTATCTATAGATTACTAATTACAATCAGAGTTTAAATATTGAAATTCTGATATTACATATATAATAAATAAGCTTCAGAAGAGTAGCAATATATCATTATAGCAATAAAAAATAATTTTTTTTTTTAAAATCCTCAATTTATACAAAATTTTACTAAGTTAATCAATTTTGTATAGTATAATATAAGACTAATCTATTTTTTGTATATCTTTTATCTATTTTGATATTTTTTGTTGAAAAATATCATTGATTTGTTTTATTAATCTCTAACTCTTTAAATATTTTAGATATCTATTAATTATATAAATATCTGGTTATATAATCAATAACTCACAAATTATTTTTGCTATAAATTTTTAACTATTATTAAACTAAAAAATAATTAAGTGACAAAGCAAACAAATATATCAAAAAAAAAACAACTACTTCAATTAGCTATTTGCTAGTTAGAACCTGTATTCATACAAGAATACTTTGTAAAGTAATCTCACAAATGATATATATAATAATAATTATTATTAAAAATACTAGTTATAAAAATTAAATCAACTTGGACTTGATTAAAAAAGATATTTAGATAATTGGCCTTGTAGCAACTGCATTTAGAAAACTTCTTCTTGTTGTATATGTTGTGCAATTTTTTATAAATTCTTTAATAAAAGATTGTAAAATATAATTATTTTGCTAACAATTTTAATTTAATTTTTGATTAGAATTGATCATTTTATAGTTAGTAATTGTTAGTAAAATTAACTGTTAGGTAATAGGCTGTAAGAGAAATAGTTTTAGAGAATTAAACTATCAGAGAAATAAGCTATTAGTGAAATAGCCATTGGCAAAATAGTTGTTAGATAAATAGTTGTCAGAAAATCTTCAAATCTAATAAAATAAACTAATTAATATTGTATCATATAAGTATCATAAAAAAATCTTGTGATAGTTATTTTAAATTTTTTTACATACATCAATATTTGAAAAGTAAAATAACTATTACAGGTTTTTTTTAATATTACTTATGTGCAATATAATGATAAATATATATTTTTTATTATACTGCTTACAGAACTTTGATACACCAACATGTTTTTAGACTCCTTGATATAAACTATACAACATGTTCTTGTCAATAGGACATACTGGTAAATTCAACTCTACTTTAATAAGCCAAATAATAGGATTTGCTAGTGTTCCAAAATCCCATATTGAAATATTTTTTTTGCACAATGATGATCTTTAGCAGTCCTGATTTTTGTGTTTGTTGGGTCTTGTAAAATTTTAACACAAAAATCAAAATCTTCAAATATAATAAAAATTTTGTGCTATCTGTTAACTAACTTATTGTCAAGAAATTTGATAAGTAAGTTATCAAATGCACTACGAGACATGAATGAATAATCCTGAGGTTTAACCATTGTATATTAAAGTTACTAAAAGAGTAACAAGAATGAATAAAAGAAAACTTTATAAATGATAAGAATGAATCAGTTTTACCACAAAATTCTGACATCCAAAATCTTGACAGGTCATCATACTGATATCACATGATGTGACAATAGAACCCTAGCCATGACAAAAAAAAGTTACTATCATGTAATTTGGACCAATTAGCGAAAATCAAAACAATCAAATAAAAGTATAAATTAAAGTAAATCTTATTGTTAAAGTTCAGGTTAGATTGAGAATATAGCATGTTGTATATCATGGGAAGATATTCATATAATTGGCTAATTTTGAAGATCTACCCATGATCTCCCGTGATAATTAACCAATCAAATTACATAATTTTTAAAAGAATTTATCGTTCTAATACTCAAAAAAAACTTCATATAAAGAAGCTTACAAACTAATAAATTCACACAAAAAGAATTTATCACATATACTTGGAGTATAGATAGATGTGTATAAAGTGGGTAAATGCAACATTTATTGCTATTAAATCCTAACTTATTAAAGAATCTACAAAACACAAATGAAT